AGTTGTGGTTACTTGAGAGTTTACTTCTGTTTTAATATATTCCACAGCCTCATTCAATTGCCTTGTTGCCACATTGAAGTAACCTACCATTGGGTTTTCAAATTTTGCAACCTCATTTCCCCCCAGGTTTGCTTTATTGGCCTGGGTGCCAGAGGATTAGTCTGATTTGTGTGTTCTCATGTCTTTTCTGTTTCAGTTGAATTCTTGGAGTGATACTTGCTAGTTTCCTAACAGTATGAACTGAATTCGGGAAGATAAAACAGAATGCAAACAATCATAAAATATATATGAATTCATGATATGTCCAATCTGTCCTCAAGGGTTAAGATTCAAAATATATTTCAGAGGAAGAAGAGTAATGGCCAAAGGGAAAGAGATTACAATACAACGGAGATGGTAGATGGATCCCACCTACTGGGGGAAACTAATGCAGAAGACTAAATGAGATTTGAAAGAGAAAAATTGAAATCCACACAAAAGCATACCCACAAGGAAGTTAGGAATCACAGTCACCCGCAGAAATTAAGAACAAAATAAAGGAGAAATAAAAAGCAGATGAATAAAACAAGAAAATACCAAACCAAAAAGAAAAATGAATGAAAAAAAAAATCGTTCTCTTCCAGGATTCTCTCTGGATTCATTATTAGATGCCCTATGGATACAGTGTTCTGAGTTCCGCCATTCTTTCCCTTCAAACCAGGCACTGCCTTATGATGGAGTAGTAGACAGCATTAGCCAGCCTGCCTCAAGACGAGGCTCATTTGAATAAGCTCATTCCAATCGATTTCCATGTGTCTGCACCCAACTAGTGTCTTCTAAAGGAAGCCAGCAGCTGTTCTGGTTAAGGTTCATCTGACTTCACTTCAACATGGCTCCCGCCAAACATTCCCTCCCACTGAATGACAAAATCCTTCTCCATTCTGTGCCAGACAGTAAAGACCTCGTTGTCTGCTGCTTACCTACACTGCTGAGTCTCTCAGCATTGTCCACTGGCCTCACTAGCTGTCACTGTTACCAGGAACAAGAGTCCCCAGGTCCAAACATCTCCCTTCACTAGTGTTGATGATTTCCTGATTCTGCAATAACTAGCATAACCAAAATAGGTTCAATGCCCCTATCAGTACAATACCCAACAATCATCATTGCTGTGCTCTCTTAGTTAATTTTAGGTTCTGAATTTTATACAAAATATGTGCACTAGTTGTAATTCAGTTGTGTAGATTTTGATATTTCTACATTAAGAAGATACTTTCTTGTACAAAATGACAAGAAAAATAGAAATCATGGGTAATTTGTAATAAATTTTCTTCTCTATAGCTACTTTTATAAATATGAGCATAACGCTCACTATTAGAGATACACACACACACACACACACACACAAACACACACACAAAATGTAGTAAAGCTAACGAAATGCAAGTTCTTCAAGTGCCTTTTAAATAGGGTAAAATTTTTCCAAAATTAACCCTTCTTAGAATATTGTATAAGTTTCTTCCTTGGATACACTGTGGAATTCCATTTGCATGGAAAATGTCATCAGCCTTGTAGGAACATTTTGTACATTTTTTGATGAATTCTCTTTGTGTAGCAATGACTTTTAAACCAGGCTGATGAAAGGTGGGAAAATGCTGCTTTTGTTTCTATTCCAGCCCTAGAGCTGTGTTAGAACTGAAGGGGCAAAAACTTTTCCACATTCTTGTGTACAGATACAAGAGTATTGCCTGGCATATACCTTGTGATACATAGTAAGTTGCGGTTTATTGAGATTACAAGATGACAGTAGGATGAATTACAAGTGCAAAATGGAAAGTAAAGAGGAATAGAAACTTTAAAGATTCAGGGTTACAGTACCTAAGAATTTAGACCGAGATGTCTTCCACAGAGGTGTGATAAGGCTAATCCATGTGCCTGCTTTCAAGGTCAGGTTCATTTGGCTCCTGTTGCTTCCCATTTTGGTTAGAAAACTCTAAATCTGTTCCAAGTTTTCCTAGGGTTGTTGATTTGCTGACTGAGAGATCACTACATGCTAACTATACATAAATAATCAGCCATATTGTGATTAGAGTTGAATGAAGGAAACGAAATGGTTCATGCAATTTTACTATTTGTCACTAGTCTCCTACCACTTTCATCATCCGGGACTCCTGGATAGATACTTTATTTATTAGTGTGTTGTTTGCACATAAGAGTTGGAAGTGTCACAAGATGCCTTCACTAGTAGCTCGAGAATGTGTGACACACAACTTTGGTGATACAGGTAAATTGGTGCCTCCGGGGACTTTGGCAGGCCTTTCAGTGCTTGCCAAATGCAGTTGGTGATTTCCTTGCTTCAGAATGCCTGTAAAGTTATGGCAAATTCTTGTTCATCTTCTGTCATATATTTTTCTTAGAATTAAACAGTCAAACAAGTGGTTTCTTCAAAAAAGTCTTCTGCTAGTAATGTTGGATTAGCATCAACCCACATCGAATCCCAACAACACAGAGGGATGATTGTTTTCTGGAAACCGGAGCACATTAACCTTCAAGAGTTCACAACTGTGACACCAACTGAGGGAATGAACAGGCATTCTCAGTCCTAACTCCTAATGCTTAAGAGCTGGCATGTCATTCTCACAAGAGTGTTAATATAGCGCCATATCTCAATGGTTGCCCTTCAGCCACTTAAGCTGCAATTCTTGCCTGGTTCCTCTGTAGAATTGCAAGGAAAACATTCTTTTGGTCAATTTGTACATTCAATATAACTTCTGTTTCTATGAAGCACTTGACAATAAGTCACTGTAACACAGATTTGTACTCAGAGAAGCTGAGAAGACCTGTGCTTGCCCGGAAAAATCTTCTGCCCTAATCCACTTTGCTCCATTCATTTCACTATGAGGAAATTACACTTTGTAAGTTATTTTCAATGTTTTATGTTGTTCATTTGATGCAGTGATAGAAACTCATACTTTTTAATTTCCACATTTCATGTAAAAGATAATAATTATTTACATATTTGGAAAGAAAAAAATTAACATTTGAATGTTCTCCCTTGTAGGATGAACAGGGATTCCCAAGCAACTGGGATGACTCCTACATAATCAGCAAGTCATTTATGGACAGCTGAGGAATCTGTGTTCTGAAAGTTTTCACACAAAAAATTAATAAAAAATTTCCTTTTTTCCTCCTTTAAAGCTTTTCCTGTTTTATTCTCTTTAATGAGGAGGAGAGAATGGACATGAAATAAAACTTGAGGGTGATAATACCAAAACACATATTCCCACAACATCTAAGAACCATAGTTCTTTTCAAGAAATATGCACACAGAGTGAATTATTTTGTCTCATTTTCAACAATCTCAGCCGGCTTGAGGTGAGAAAGGGACACTTGTAGGAGTAAGGACACAAGAATAGGACATGTGTATGCCAAATATCTGCAAAAGTCAGGCAGTAAACTGAGCCAAAGAAGCACTTGCCTGGCAATAACCAGGTTGTGAGTTGTGAGTTCAAGCCATGATAAAGACTGAGAGAGATAGAGATAGATAGACAGACAGACATACAGACAGATAGACAGGTATATATATATATATATATATATATATATATATATATATATATAGAGAGAGAGAGAGAGAGAGAGAGAGACATAAAGAGAGAGAGAGACAAAACTCTTAGTGATTTTACTGCATAATTTTTATACAGGTTGTTTCCCCATATTGACATTCATGAAGATTTACACAACCAGCACATAAAGGGTTACCAGCTGTAAGCCCTGATTAAACAAATGTTTTGAAATCTGTACCTGTTCAAGACAAGGGGATCCATTTCTTTATATATTTTTAGAAGCTCTGAGCCATTACAGATTCTAGGTGATTCCAGAGTAACACCACTAATGATTTTTACAAAAGCCCAAACTTTGAGATGAAACCCACTACGTTTTCATTTTTAATTTTAATTCTATTCTTCATAATACCATAGAAACATGTATTCTATTCTTATGAATATTAAATGTTCACAGTGAGAAAGCTCTTTTTGAGATTTATAGTGTGAATTTGCCAACAGCCATTTCTCAGTGCAGTTGTAAGTAATAAATTTTGCTTCCTCAACATGAATTCCTCTGAAATACATAAAACACTTCTACTTTTAATTCTCTTTCATGCCATTTTCATAAATCTGAGCATTTTCCTCTCTTTTTTCTCCAGGACCATGATTGGACTGCTCGCTCAGAGGCCTAGATTTTGCGGGAATGTGCTGTAGTGCTTGTGCTGCCTGTCTGTGTCACTGGGACAGGACAACATGAGCAAAGACTTGCATTGTGTGATTGTCCTTTGGCTTCAGCAGCCTGAGTTCTGGGTCATTTATTTCTGCCATCTACTATGTTAATTAGTGACATTGTACATCCACTGTGTTCATCCCATGGATGGGCCTGAAATCATCAGCACACTGAAATTTTTCTTAGCTTCTGAATCTAACATACAGAAAAAGGATGAGGAGCCAAACAACTGTACAAAGTAAGATTCAGGTTTATTTACAGAGAAAAGTGAGGGACAGCAAAAAGCCCGTGTTACAAGTGGGGTGCCCAGGGATGCATGATGGTGCAGAAAGCCAGGAAGGAGTCTTGCATTTACAGAGTGAAGTTCATGGACCCTGCCTCTAAGGGTAGCCCCACCCCAGGTCTGCCTTCAACATTGACAGGAGTTTTGGTTTCCGTTTGGCATCGACACTGTAAAAACCCACTTTGCTCAATATTATAAAACACAGATTTGAAAATGCATGATACACGACTTCTAAATTCTCAGTATCGCATTTCCTTTTTCTGACCTTAAGACGGTGGTCCCTTCTCTCCTCTAGAGAGGCACAATTTAATATTTCCACATAGAAGAGTGAAGTTTCCACGGATTTCCCTAGCATATTATGGTTCAGGGGCAGCAAATGTGGCCAGGGTTTTGGGAAGATAAATGGAGATGTGGGATCTCAGGACAGTCTCACACGCTTGCATGGGGGTACCATGAATGCACACTGCATGGAAACCAGAGAGTGATAGGCTTCGGCCACCAAGTGAGGGTGGGACACCACCATGGCCTTCCACTCAGAGGTCTCCAGGATGTCAGAAACATGAAAATTGATGAAATCCAGTGTCCGGGTTTTCAACTGAGGTGCACTGTGGAGGTCAGCCAAGATGAGGATTTCCACGGCATTCTCCACAGAGAGGTTGCTGCACAGGTGGTTCTCACACATGAGCTTCAGGCGCTCCAGACCAAACCTGCTTGCAGCCTCCAGCAGTTCAGTTGCCATGATCCCTAGGTTTGGTGCCTTTCCAGTGTACATAAAGTATATCATTTCCTTAAAAACTTCAGGATCCATGTCACTGATTTCAACACGATTCTTTTTGCTTCCTTGCTTTTCATGTTCCAACAACGCCATGAAAACTGGAGAGCGAGCTGCTAAGATGGCTTTGTGAGCCTGGAATTCCTGGCCAGCCACACACAAGCAACAGTCTGAGAGCTGGGATCGCTCCCACAGTCCTCCTAGATCCTCTGCCAAGCAGCCCTCAGGAACATTAACCAGCTTCCTAATATTCTGGCTGGAATGATTGGTGGGATCTTGTGCTACTTTCACTTCACAGAAGAAGGAAAGCTTGTCATTGGAGAGAAGCCCATTGTTTGGATCCAAAAGAAACTCTCTAAGGATGAAATGTTTGAATCCCCAGTCCTTTCCTCGCACAAATGTATAAGCTTGTGGACTTGAGAGCACCTTGGTTTTCTCTCCTTTGGCATTCAGAATGGAAAAGGTGAATTTTGCATGAGCTACCCTCCTTGGACAGCAGATCATTCCCAGGTATAAGCACACATAATCTTTGCTTTGTTCATCAAGACCATTTGGGTAGAGTCGTAAGCACCATTTCACTTGATCATTTCCTTCAGCTGAAAAGATTGAACTTTGAATGCAGTCATCTATTTCCTTTAGGCAAAATCTAATGTTATCAATGGTCCACAAAAAGGACACGTTCACTACTTTGATGTCTGTGGTGTACCTGCTGTCCACTGTGGGCCCCTGTGACATTTCTGCTGGGCCTGCGGTACTGGAAACCCTTAACATCAGCAGAGTGAAAGTGCAGCAAGCTTGTCAAGTCACAGGAATCAAATTTCTTCTTCACCAGATGGCACAAATTTCACTGCAGTCAGCACTTCCAAGACAGGCAGGGCAGTATGGCAATCACAAGTAGAGAGCCTAGTTTATAGATTAAAAGAAATACGTATTTAGAAATAAGCTGACTGAGATTTCCTAGTATATAAGTCAATTCTGAAAAGTTTCTTGATCACTCAAAGAAATAGCTCACCAAAATGCACAGACCTTAAAATACGAAGCCTTGTTGAGTCCCGTCTGAGTTCCTTTCAGGAGGCTAATTCATCTGGGCTGGAAGCAAGGATATGAATTCCAAGTTTCAAGCAGGGAACCACCTCATCATGGAAACAGAAAGGATTCTTCCTTCTTGGTGTCCCTTTTATAACTCTTAGGACAGGATCCACCCTATGGTGGTTCTTCCCACCCTATTCTAATCCAATTGCCCTAGGTGTGTCTCACTCAAAATGTGAGAGTCAGTCAATTTTCATCCTACCTGTCTTTTCTATATGTTTATGAAAACAGTCTGTTTGACTAGCCCACAATTTCTTTTGTCTCATTCATATGGGGGAGTTCTCTGGTCTATCGTCTTCCTGCCATTTCCAGAAGATGAGAGGCTAGGGTGGAGGATAGTAACTCCAGCATGCCACTGTTCTCAGTAGGCCCTCTGTGTTTATTCCTTTCTGGTGGTAAGGAGCAAAGCAGGACAGATCGGTCAATAAGGCACCTTTTCCCTTGGGATCACATGTGGGTGAAAGCCAGTTGCAGGGAAGAAATGTGAAGGGAGCAGATTCAAGGCTCCATGAGAAATAGGTGTGCTGGGAGTGAAGAGGTGGTTCTTCTGGGTAATCTGATACAGTGTCGGGAGCAAGGGACATGGATTTGGGACAGGCACAAACAGTGAATATTGGCAGAATGTCTCTAAACCTAAAGTCTAGTGTGGGACAACTGTAAATGCTACTTCCTCAGAGCTTTTAGATCTCCTACTAACCTAGTTCACTCCTTGGACCCAATGTTTGGAAACAGTGATATTACTGAGTTCCACTGGCATTTCCTGGGACATGGGTCATGCTGGGAGTGCCAGGAGTCCAGGCAAACCCTCTCCCCACCATGAGCAGCTGTGAGTCTGCCAGCCTGCAGGCTGAGAAACAAACATCACATCTTGTCCCCCTATCCCATTAGCATGTCGGAGCCAGTAATCTGGACGTCCCTTGAGAGGTTGACCCTAGGCAATGTAGTAAGGAGGGGATTTCCTTCTATCATCTCTTTGAAGTCCAATACTTTTATCCATGTTTTGGTTTGTTCTATAAAATATGGTCTTTTTTTTTAAAAGCTGGTTGTGTTTAACTGAGTTTCCACATACATGAAAGTATGCATAGGCATTTTGAAGCAAACAACCGATTCTAGCACAGCCATTAGTGACTTCTTTTTGTCTGATTTTAAAGACCTAAAACTCCTTTCTCAGACTGTTTGGATTAATTTTATACTAGGTTTCTCAGTATGAATTCTGTGTGGCAAGACATGGACAACTATTTGGAAGAAAAAAATAGACAACATGATAGATAGGGAAGATTTCAGATTATCTAGTTTTGAAATTTATATCTCTTACATTGAGTTATTATGTCCAATTTTGCTCTGTTTTGTTGTGTTTAATTTTATCTCCTTTCACAAAAAATAACAATGCTGATTTGCAGGGTGTGGGCGAACACATCATTAATCCCAGCACTCTCAAAGCTGAGGCAGGAATATCATTGCAGTTTCAAGGACATGTGGGATTAAATACTAACTTGAATTAAAAACCAAAAGAATGAAAGGGCAGAGGGAATGAGGGATGGAAGGAAGCAAGGAACGAAAGAAGAAAGCAAGAAAGGAAGGAAGAAAGGAAGGAAGAAAAGAAGGAAGGAAGGAAGGAAGGTAGGTAGACAGTAAGAAGGGCTACCACTTCAGGGATAGATATCACTGGCTTTCTTCCAAAGCTTCTCTTTTTTCTGTTTTACATACTCAGAGTGTGCTCCAGTTTTCCTCCAGCCTCACAAGTGTTACATACCCTCATGTACTTGGGGACCTTATTGGAAGGAGCACAACAGTCCTCATCCCTAACAGATATTTTTTTTTCTCTTTTTCATTTTTATTGTTACCAGGGATAGAACTCAGGACTACAGCTTGCCAGGAAATTGCTTATGCTACTGAGAGAAATCCCCAGCCCATCCCTAACAGATTTTAATACTCTATTTTTATTTGAATGTCTGCAAACTTGTCTATTACACATGGGCAGGTAGAATTCTTTTAATCAGTGCTAACTGGAGAAATAATTGCCTCAATTATTGGTAGGCTAAATTCCTCTTCTGTACTAGGAAAGCTTTCTGCCATGATGTCTACAAAGTGCTTTTAATGTCATTTGTTGTCTCTCCTCATCACTAAGTGCCAGCCTGTACTCAGTATGTGAAGTCCTTTCCTCAAACTGGCCTAAAGTGCTCTGAATTTTTAAAATGGATTTTTTTCTCTTGCATATCGGCTTGAATCTATTTAATGGGTTCATTTATTTCTTAGGTTGTGCTTCAACAGTTCTTGAAAGCTCGCCTTTTTTTTGGGCTGTGTCTTAACTAACATCACTAAGAAGGTTGTGTATTTTGGTAATCTCTGTAGTTAGTTGTGGTTACTTGAGAGATTACTTGTGTTTTAATATATTCCACAGCCTCATTCAATTGCCTTGTTGCCACATTGAAGTAACCTACCATTGGGTTTTCAAATTTTGCAACCTCATTTCCCCCCAGGTTTGCTTTATTGGCCTGGGTGCCAGAGGATTAGTCTGATTTGTGTGTTCTCATGTCTTTTCTGTTTCAGTTGAATTCTTGGAGTGATACTTGCTAGTTTCCTAACAGTATGAACTGAATTCGGGAAGATAAAACAGAATGCAAACAATCATAAACAATATATGAATTCATGATATGTCCAATCTGTCCTCAAGGGTTAAGATTCAAAATATATTTCAGAGGAAGAAGAGTAATGGCCAAAGGGAAAGAGATTACAATACAACGGAGATGGTAGATGGATCCCACCTACTGGGGGAAACTAATGCAAAAGACTAAATGAGATTTGAAAGAGAAAAATTGAAATCCAAACAAAAGCATACCCACAGGGAAGTTAGGAATCACAGTCACCCGCAGAAATTAAGAACAAAATAAAGGAGAAATTAAAAGCAGATGAATAAAACAAGAAAATACCAAACCAAAAAGAAAAATGAATGAAAAAAAAATCGTTCTCTTCCAGGATTCTCTCTGGATTCATTATTAGATGCCCTATGGATACAGTGTTCTGAGTTCCGCCATTCTTTCCCTTCAAACCAGGCACTGCCTTATGATGGAGTAGTAGACAGCATTAGCCAGCCTGCCTCAAGAGGAGGCTCATTTGAATAAGCTCATTCCAATCAATTTCCATGTGTCTTCACCCAACTAGGGTCTTCTAAAGGAAGCCAGCAGCTGTTCTGGTTAAGGTTCATCTGACTTCACTTCAACATGGGTCCCGCCAAACATTCCCTCCCGCTGAATGACAAAATCCTTCTCCATTCTGTGCCAGACAGTAAAGACCTCGATGTCTGCTGCTTACCTACACTGCTGAGCCTCTCAGCATTGTCCACTGGCCTCACTAGCTGTCACTGTTACCAGGAACAAGAGTCCCCAGGTCCAAACATCTCCCCTCACTAGTGTTGATGATTTCCTGATTCTGCAATAACTAGCATAACCAAAATAGGTTCAATGCCCCTATCAGTGCAATACCCAACAATCATCATTGCTGTGCTCTCTTAGTTAATTTTAGGTTCTGAATTTTATACAAAATATGTGCACTAGTTGTAATTCAGTTGTGTAGATTTTGATACTTCTACATTAAGAAGATACTTTCTTGTACAAAATGACAAGAAAAATAGAAATCATGGGTAATTTGTAATAAATTTTCTTCTCTATAGCTACTTTTACAAATATGAGCATAACACTCACTATTAGAGATACACACACAAACACACACACGCACACAAACACACACACAAAATGTAGTAAAGCTAATGAAATGCAAGCTCTTGAATTTCCTTTTAAATAGGGTAAAATTTTTCCAAAGTTAACCCTTCTTAGAATATTGTATAAGTTTCTTCCTTGGATACACTGTGGAATTCCATTTGCATGGAAAATGTCATCAGCCTTGTAGGAACATTTTGTACATTTTTTCATGAATTCTCTTTGTGTAGCAATGCCTTTTAAACCAGGCTAATGAAAGGTGGGAAAATGCTGCTTTTGTTTCTAATCCAGCCCTAGAGCTATGTTAGAACTGAAGGGGCAAAAATTTTTCCACATTCTTGTGTACAGATACAAGAGTATTGCCTGGGATATACCTTGTGATACATAGTAAGTTGCGGTTTATTGAGATTACAAGATGACAGTAGGATGAATTACAAGTGCAAAATGGAAAGTAAAGAGGAATAGAAACTTTAAAGATTCAGGGTTACAGTACCTAAGAATTTAGACCGAGATGTCTTCCACAGAGGTGTGATAAGGCTAATCCATGTGCCTGCTTTCAAGGTCAGGTACATTTGGCTCCTGTTGCTTCCCATTTTGGTTAGAAAACTCTAAATCTGTTCCATGTTTTCCTAGGGTTGTTGATTTTCTGAGTGAGAGATCACTACATGCTAACTATACACATAAATAATCAGTCATATTGTGATTAGACTTGAATGAAGGAAACGAAATGGTTCATGCAAGTTTACTATTTGTCACTAGTCTCCTACCACTTTCATCATCCGGGACTCCTGGATAGATACTTTATTTATTAGTGTGTTGTTTGCACATAAGAGTTGGAAGTGTCACAAGATGCCTTCACTAGTAGCTCGAGAATGTGTGACACACAACTTTGGATGATACAGGTAAATTGGTGCCTCCGGGGACTTTGGCAGGCCTTTCAGTGCTTGCCAAATGCAGTTGGTGATTTCCTTGCTTCAGAATACCTGTAAAGTTATGGCAAATTCTTGTTCATCTTCTGTCATATATTTTTCTTAGAATTAAGCAGTCAAACAAGTGGTTTCTTCAAAAAAGTCTTCTGCTAGTAATGTTGGATTAGCATTAACCCCCATGGAATCCCAACATGGCAGAGGGATGATTGTTTTCTGGAAACGGGAGCACTTCAGCCTTCAAGAGTTCCCAACTGTGACACCAACTGAGGGAATGAACAGGCATTCGCTGTCCTAACACCTAATGCTTAACAGCTGGCATGTCATTCTCACAAGAGTGTTAATATAGCGCCATATCTCACTGGTTGCCCTTCAGCCACTTAAGCTGCAATTCTTGCCTGGTTCCTCTGTAGAATTGCAAGGAAAACATTCTTTTGGTCAATTTGTACATTCAATATAACTTCTGTTTCTATGAAGCACTTGACAATAAGTCACTGTAACACATATTTGTACTCAGAGAAGCTGAGAAGACCTGTGCTTGCCCTGAAAAATCTTCTGCCCTAATCCACTTTGCTCCATTCATTTCACTATGAGGAAATTACACTTTGTAAGTTATTTTCAATGTTTTTTGTTGTTCATTTGATGCAGTGATAGAAACTCATACTTTTTAATTTCCACATTTCATGTAAAAGATAATAATTATTTACATATTTTGAAAGAAAAAAATTAACATTTGAATGTTCTCCCTTGTAGGATGAACAGCGATTCCCAAGCAACTGGGATGACTCCTACATAATCAGCAAGTCAGGTATGGACAGCTGAGGAATCTGTGTTCTGAAAGTTTTCACACAAAAAATTAATAAAAATTTTCCTTTTTTCCTCCTTTAAAGCTTTTCCTGTTTTATTCTCTTTAATGAGGAGGAGAGAATGGACGTGAAATAAAACTTGAGGGTGATAATACCAAAACACATATTCCCACAACATCTAAGAACCATAGTTCTTTTCAAGAAATATGCACACAGAGTGAATTATTTTGTCTCATTTTCAACAATCTCAGCCGGCTTGAGGTGAGAAAGGGACACTTCTAGGAGTAAGGACACAAGAATAGGACATATGTATGCCAAATATCTGCAAAAGTCAGGCAGTAAACTGAGCCAAAGAAGCACTTGCCTGGCAATAACCAGGTTGTGAGTTGTGAGTTCAAGCCATGATAAAGACTGAGAGAGATAGAGATAGATAGACAGAGATACAGACAGACAGATAGACATATATATATATATATATATATATAGAGAGAGAGAGAGAGAGAGAGAAAGAGAGAGAGACAAAACTCTTAGTGATTTTACTGCATAGTTGTTATACAGGTTGTTATCCCATATTGACATTCATGAAGATTTAAACAACCAGCACATAAAGGGTTACCAGCTGTAAGCCCTGATTAAACAAATGTTTTGAAATCTGTACCTGTTCAAGACAAGGGGATCCATTTCTTTATATATTTTTAGAAGCTCTGAGCCATTACAGATTCTAGGTGATTCCAGAGTAACACCACTAATGATTTTTACAAAAGCCCAAACTTTGAGATGAAACCCACTACGTTTTCATTTTTAATTTTAATTCCATTCTTCATAATACCATAGAAACATGTATTCTATTCTTATGAATATTAAATGTTCACAGTGAGAAAGCTCTTTTTGAGATTTATAGTGTGAATTTGCCAACAGCCATTTCTCAGTGCAGTTGTAAGTAATAAATTTTGCTTCCTCAACATGAATTCCTCTGAAATACATAAAACACTTCTACTTTTAATTCTCTTTCATGCCATTTTCATAAATCTGAGCATTTTCCTCTCTTTTTTCTCCAGGACCATGATTGGACTGCTCGCTCAGAGGCCTAGATTTTGCGGGAATGTGCTGTAGTGCTTGTGCTGCCTGTCTGTGTCACTGGGACAGGACAACATGAGCAAAGACTTGCATTGTGTGATTGTCCTTTGGCTTCAGCAGCCTGAGTTCTGGGTCATTTATTTCTGCCATCTACTATGTTAATTAGTGACATTGTACATCCACTGTGTTCATCCCGTGGATGGGCCTGAAATCATCAGCACACTGAAATTTTTCTTAGCTTCTGAATCTAACATACAGAAAAAGGATGAGGAGCCAAACAACTGTACAAAGTAAGATTCAGGTTTATTTACAGAGAAAAGTGAGGGACAGCAAAAAGCCCGTGTTACAAGTGGGGTGCCCAGGGATGCATGATGGTGCAGAAAGCCAGGAAGGAGTCTTGCATTTACAGAGTGAAGTTCATGGTCCCTGCCTCTAAGGGTAGCCCCACCCCAGGTCTGCCTTCAACATTGACAGGAGTTTTGGTTTCCGTTTGGCATCGACACTGTAAAAACCCACTTTGCTCAATATTATAAAACACAGATTTGAAAATGCATGATACACGACTTCTAAATTCTCAGTATCGCATTTCCTTTTTCTGACCTTAAGACTGTGGTCCCTTCTCTCCCCTAGAGAGGCACAATTTAATATTTCCACATAGAAGAGTGAAGTTTCCACGGATTTCCCTAGCATATTATGGTTCAGGGGCAGCAAATGTGGCCAGGGTTTTGGGAAGATAAATGGACATGTGGGATCTCTGGACAGTCTCACACGCTTGCATGGGGGTACCATGAATGCACACTGCATGGAAACCAGAGAGTGATAGGCTTCGGCCACCAAGTGAGGGTGGGACACCACCATGGCCTTCCACTCAGAGGTCTCCAGGATGTCAGAAACATGAAAATTGATGAAATCCAGTGTCCGGGTTTTCAACTGAGGTGCACTGTGGAGGTCAGCCAAGATGAGGATTTCCACGGCATTCTCCACAGAGAGGTTGCTGCACAGGTGGTTCTCACACATGAGCTTCAGGCGCTCCAGACCAAACCTGCTTGCAGCCTCCAGCAGTTCAGTTGCCATGATCCCTAGGTTTGGTGCCTTTCCAGTGTACATAAAGTATATCATTTCCTTAAAAACTTCAGGATCCATGTCACTGATTTCAACACGATTCTTTTTGCTTCCTTGCTTTTCATGTTCCAACAACGCCATGAAAACTGGAGAGCGAGCTGCTAAGATGGCTTTGTGAGCCTGGAATTCCTGGCCAGCCACACACAAGCAACAGTCTGAGAGCTGGGATCGCTCCCACAGTCCTCCTAGATCCTCTGCCAAGCAGCCCTCAGGAACCTTAACCAGCTTCCTAATATTCTGGCTGGAATGATTGGTGGGATCTTGTGCTACTTTCACTTCACAGAAGAAGGAAAGCTTGTCATTGGAGAGAAGCCCATTGTTTGGATCCAAAAGAAACTCTCTAAGGATGAAATGTTTGAATCCCCAGTCCTTTCCTCGCACAAATGTATAAGCTTGTGGACTTGAGAGCACCTTGGTTTTCTCTCCTTTGGCATTCAGAATGGAAAAGGTGAATTTTGCATGAGCTACCCTCCTTGGACAGCAGATCATTCCCAGGTATAAGCACACATAATCTTTGCTTTGTTCATCAAGACCATTTGGGTAGAGTCGTAAGCACCATTTCACTTGATCATTTCCTTCAGCTGAAAAGATTGAACTTTGAATGCAGTCATCTATTTCCTTTAGGCAAAATCTAATGTTATCAATGGACCACAAAAAGGACACGTTCACTACTTTGATGTCTGTGGTGTACCTGCTGTCCACTGTGGGCCCCTGTGACATTTCTGCTGGGCCTGCGGTACTGGAAACCCTTAACATCAGGAGAGTGAAAGTGCAGCAAGCTTGTCAAGTCACAGGAATCAAATTTCTTCTTCACCAGATGGCACAAATTTCACTGCAGTCAGCAGTTCCAAGACAGGCAGGGCAGTATGGCAATCACAAGTAGAGAGCCTAGTTTATAGATTAAAAGAAATACTTATTTATAAATAAGCTGACTGAGATTTCCTAGTATGTAAGTCAATTCTGAAAAGTTTCTTGATCACTCAAAGAAATAGCTCACCAAAATGCACAGACCTTAAAATACGAAGCCTTGTTGAGTCCCGTCTGAGTTCCTTTCAGGAGGCTAATTCATCTGGGCTGGAAGCAAGGATATGAATTCCAAGTTTCAAGCAGGGAACCACCTCATCATGGAAACAGAAAGGATTCTTCCTTCTTGGTGTCCCTTTTATAACTCTTAGGACAGGATCCACCCTATGGTGTTTCTTCCCACCCTATTCTAATCCAATTGCCCTAGGTGTGTCTCACTCAAAATGTGAGAGTCAGTCAATTTTCATCCTACCTGTCTTTTCTATATGTTTATGAAAACAGTCTGTTTGACTAGCCCAGAATTTCTTTTGTCTCATTCATATGGGGGAGTTCTCTGGTCTATCGTCTTCCTGCCATTTCCAGAAGATGAGAGGCTAGGGTGGAGGATAGTAACTCCAGCATGCCACTGTTCTCAGTAGGCCCTCTGTGTTTATTCCTTTCTGGTGGTAAGGAGCAAAGCAGGACAGATCGGTCAATAAGGCACCTTTTCCCTTGGGATCACATGTGGGTGAAAGCCAGTTGCAGGGAAGTAATGTGAAGGGAGCAGATTCAAGGCTCCATGAGAAATAGGTGTGCTGGGAGTGAAGAGGTGGTTCTTCTGGGTAATCTGATACAGTGTCGGGAGCAAGGGACATGGATTTGGGACAGGCACAAACAGTGAATATTGGCAGAATGTCTCTAAACCTAAAGTCTAGTGTGGGACAACTGTAAATGCTACTTCCTCAGAGCTTTTAGATCTCCTACTAACCTAGTTCACTCCTTGGACCCAATGTTTGGAAACAGTAATATTACTGAGTTCCACTGGCATTTCCTGGGACATGGGTCATGCTGGGAGTGCCAGGAGTCCAGGCAAACCCTCTCCCCACCATGAGCAGCTGTGAGTCTGCCAGCCTGCAGGCTGAGAAACAAACATCACATCTTCTCCCCCTATCCCATTAGCATGTCGGAGCCAGTAATCTGGACGTCCCTTGAGAGGTTGACCCTAGGCAATGTAGTAAGGAGGGGATTTCCTTCTATCATCTCTTTGAAGCCCAATACTTTTATCCATGTTTTGGTTTGTTCTCTAAAATATGGTCTTTTTTTAAAAAGCTGGTTGTGTTTAACTGAGTTTCCACATACATGAAAGTATGCATAGGCATTTTGAAGCAAACAACCGATTCTAGCACAGCCATTAGTGACTTCCTTATTGTCTGATTTTAAAGACCTAAAACTCCTTTCTCAGACTGTTTGGATTAATTTTATACTAGGTTTCTCAGTATGAATTCTGTGTTTCAAGACATGGACAACTATTTGGAAGAAAAAAATAGACAACATGATAGATAGGGAAGATTTCAGATTATCTAGTTTTGAAATTTATATCTCTTACATTGCGTTATTATGTCCAATTTTGCTCTGTTTTGTTGTGTTTAATTTTATCTCCTTTCACAAAAAATAACAATGCTGATTTGCAGGGTGTGGGCGAACACATCATTAATCCCAGCACTCTCAAAGCTGAGGCAGGAATATCATTGCAGTTTCAAGGACATGTGGGATTAAATACTAACTTGAATTAAAAACCAAAAGAATGAAAGGACAGAGGGAATGAGGGATGGAAGGAAGCAAGGAACGAAAGAAGGAAGCAAGAAAGGAAGGAAGAAAGGAAGGAAGGAAGGAAGAAAACAAGGAAGGAAGAAAGGAAGGAAGGTAGACAGTAAGAAGGGCTACCACTTCAGGGATAGATATCACTGGCTTTCTTCCAAAGCTTCTCTTTTTTCTGTTTTACATACTCAGAGTGTGATCCAGTTTTCCTCCAGCATCAGAAGTGTTACATACCCTCATGTACTTGGGGACCTTATTGGAAGGAGCACAACAGTCCTAATCCCTAACAGATTTTTTTTTTCTCTTTTTCATTTTTATTGTTACCAGGGATAGAACTCAGGACTACAGCTTGCCAGGAAATTGCTTATGCTACTGAGAGAAATCCCCAGCCCATCCCTAACAGATTTTGATACTCTATTTTTATTTGAATGTCTGCAAACTTGTCTATTACACATGGGCAGGTAGAATTCTTTTAATCAGTGCTAACTGGAGAAATAATTGCCTCAATTATTGGTAGGTTAAATTCCTCTTCTGTACCAGGAAAGCTTTCTGTCATGATGTCTACAAAGTGCTTTTAATGTCATTTGTTGTCTCTCCTCGTCACTAAGTGCCAGCCTGTACTCAGTATGTGAAGTCCTTTCCTCAAACTGGCCTAAAGTGCTCTGAATTTTTAAAATGGATTTTTTTCTCTTGCATATCGGCTTGAATCTATTTAATGGGTTCATTTATTTCTTAGGTTGTGCTTCAACAGTTCTTGTAAGCTCGCCTTTTTTTTGGGGCTGTGTCTGAACTAACATCACTAAGAAGGTTGTGTATTTTGGTAATCTCTGTAGTTAGTTGTGGTTACTTGAGAGATTACTTGTGTTTTAATATATTCCACAGCCTCATTCAATTGCCTTGTTGCCACATTGAAGTAACCTACCATTGGGTTTATTGGGTTTTCAAATTTTGCAACCTCATTTCCCCCCAGGTTTGCTTTATTGGCCTGGGTGCCAGAGGATTAGTCTGATTTGTGTGTTCTCATGTCTTTTCTGTTTCAGTTGAATTCTTGGAGTGATACTTGCTAGTTTCCTAACAGTGTGAACTGAATTCGGGAAGATAAAACAGAATGCAAACAATCATAAACAATATATGAATTCATGATATGTCCAATCTGTCCTCAAGGGTTAAGATTCAAAATATATTTCAGAGGAAGAAGAGTAATGGCCAAAGGGAAAGAGATTACAATACAACGGAGATGGTAGATGGATCCCACCTACTGGGGGAAACTAATGCAGAAGACTAAATGAGATTTGAAAGAGAAAAATTGAAATCCAAATAAAAGCATACCCACAGGGAAGTTAGGAATCACAGTCACCCGCAGAAATTAAGAACAAAATAAAGGAGAAATTAAAAGCAGATTAATAAAACAAGAAAATACCAAACCAAAAAGAAAAATGAATGAAAAAAAAATCGTTCTCTTCCAGGATTCTCTCTGGATTCATTATTAGATGCCCTATGGATACAGTGTTCTGAGTTCCGCCATTCTTTCCCTTCAAACCAGGCACTGCCTTATGATGGAGTAGTAGACAGCATTAGCCAGCCTGCCTCAAGAGGAGGCTCATTTGAATAAGCTCATTCCAATCAATTTCCATGTGTCTGCACCCAACTAGGGTCTTCTAAAGGAAGCCAGCAGCTGTTCTGGTTAAGGTTCATCTGGCTTCACTTCAACATGGCTCCCGCCAAACATTCCCTCCCGCTGAATGACAAAATCCTTCTCCATTCTGTGCCAGACAGTAAAGACCTCGATGTCTGCTGCTTACCTACACTGCTGAGCCTCTCAGCATTGTCCACTGGCCTCACTAGCTATCACTGTTACCAGGAACAAGAGTCCCCAGGTCCAAACATCTCCCCTCACTAGTGTTGATGATTTCCTGATTCTGCAATAACTAGCATAACCAAAATAGGTTCAATGCCCCTATCAGTGCAATACCCAACAATCATCATTGCTGTGCTCTCTTAGTTAATTTTAGGTTCGGAATTTTATACAAAATATGTGCACTAGTTGTAATTCAGTTGTGTAGATTTTGATACTTCTACATTAAGAAGATACTTTCTTGTACAAAATGACAAGAAAAATAGAAATCATGGGTAATTTGTAATAAATTTTCTTCTCTATAGCTACTTTTACAAATATGAGCATAACACTCACTATTAGAGATACACACACACACACACACGCACACAAACACACACACAAAATGTAGTAAAGCTAATGAAATGCAAGCTCTTGAATTTCCTTTTAAATAGGGTAAAATTTTTCCAAAGTTAACCCTTCTTAGAATATTGTATAAGTTTCTTCCTTGGATACACTGTGGAATTCCATTTGCATGGAAAATGTCATCAGCCTTGTAGGAACATTTTGTACATTTTTTCATGAAATCTCTTTGTGTAGTAATGCCTTTTAAACCAGGCTAATGAAAGGTTGGAAAATGCTGCTTTTGTTTCTAATCCAGCCCTAGAGCTATGTTAGAACTGACGGGGCAAAAATTTTTCCACATTCTTGTGTACAGATACAAGAGTATTGCCTGGCATATACCTTGTGATACATAGTAAGTTGCGGTTTATTGAGATTACAAGATGACAGTAGGATGAATTACAAGTGCAAAATGGAAAGTAAAGAGGAATAGAAACTTTAAAGATTCAGGGTTACAGTACCTAAGAATTTAGACCGAGATGTCTTCCACAGAGGTGTGATAAGGCTAATCCATGTGCCTGCTTTCAAGGTCAGGTACATTTGGCTCCTGTTGCTTCCCATTTTGGTTAGAAAACTCTAAATCTGTTCCATGTTTTCCTAGGGTTGTTGATTTTCTGACTGACAGATCACTACATGCTAACTATACACATAAATAATCAGTCATATTGTGATTAGACTTGAATGAAGGAAAAGAAATGGTTCATACAAGTTTACTATTTGTCACTAGTCTCCTACCACTTTCATCATCCGGGACTCCTGGATAGATACTTTATTTATTAGTGTGTTGTTTGCACATAAGAGTTGGAAGTGTCACAAGATGCCTTCACTAGTAGCTCGAGAATGTGTGACACACAACTTTGGTGATACAGGTAAATTGGTGCCTCCGGGGACTTTGGCAGGCCTTTCAGTGCTTGCCAAATGCAGTTGGTGATTTCCTTGCTTCAGAATGCCTGTAAAGTTATGGCAAATTCTTGTTCATCTTCTGTCATATATTTTTCTTAGAATTAAACAGTCAAACAAGTGGTTTCTTCAAAAAAGTCTTCTGCTAGTAATGTTGGATTAGCATCAACCCACATCGAATCCCAACAACACAGAGGGATGATTGTTTTCTGGAAACCGGAGCACATTAACCTTCAAGAGTTCACAACTGTGACACCAACTGAGGGAATGAACAGGCATTCTCAGTCCTAACTCCTAATGCTTAAGAGCTGGCATGTCACTCTCACAAGAGTGTTAATATAGCGCCATATCTCAATGGTTGCCCTTCAGCCACTTAAGCTGCAATTCTTGCCTGGTTCCTCTGTAGAATTGCAAGGAAAACATTCTTTTGGTCAATTTGTACATTCAATATAACTTCTGTTTCTATGAAGCACTTGACAATAAGTCACTGTAACACAGATTTGTACTCAGAGAAGCTGAGAAGACCTGTGCTTGCCCGGAAAAATCTTCTGCCCTAATCCACTTTGCTCCATTCATTTCACTATGAGGAAATTACACTTTGTAAGTTATTTTCAATGTTTTATGTTGTTCATTTGATGCAGTGATAGAAACTCATACTTTTTAATTTCCACATTTCATGTAAAAGATAATAATTATTTACATATTTGGAAAGAAAAAAATTAACATTTGAATGTTCTCCCTTGTAGGATGAACAGGGATTCCCAAGCAACTGGGATGACTCCTACATAATCAGCAAGTCATTTATGGACAGCTGAGGAATCTGTGTTCTGAAAGTTTTCACACAAAAAATTAATAAAAAATTTCCTTTTTTCCTCCTTTAAAGCTTTTCCTGTTTTATTCTCTTTAATGAGGAGGAGAGAATGGACATGAAATAAAACTTGAGGGTGATAATACCAAAACACATATTCCCACAACATCTAAGAACCATAGTTCTTTTCAAGAAATATGCACACAGAGTGAATTATTTTGTCTCATTTTCAACAATCTCAGCCGGCTTGAGGTGAGAAAGGGACACTTGTAGGAGTAAGGACACAAGAATAGGACATGTGTATGCCAAATATCTGCAAAAGTCAGGCAGTAAACTGAGCCAAAGAAGCACTTGCCTGGCAATAACCAGGTTGTGAGTTGTGAGTTCAAGCCATGATAAAGACTGAGAGAGATAGAGATAGATAGACAGACAGACATACAGACAGATAGACAGGTATATATATATATATATATATATATATATATATATATAGAGAGAGAGAGAGAGAGAGAGAGAGAGAGAGAGACATAAAGAGAGAGAGAGACAAAACTCTTAGTGATTTTACTGCATAATTTTTATACAGGTTGTTTCCCCATATTGACATTCATGAAGATTTACACAACCAGCACATAAAGGGTTACCAGCTGTAAGCCCTGATTAAACAAATGTTTTGAAATCTGTACCTGTTCAAGACAAGGGGATCCATTTCTTTATATATTTTTAGAAGCTCTGAGCCATTACAGATTCTAGGTGATTCCAGAGTAACACCACTAATGATTTTTACAAAAGCCCAAACTTTGAGATGAAACCCACTACGTTTTCATTTTTAATTTTAATTCTATTCTTCATAATACCATAGAAACATGTATTCTATTCTTATGAATATTAAATGTTCACAGTGAGAAAGCTCTTTTTGAGATTTATAGTGTGAATTTGCCAACAGCCATTTCTCAGTGCAGTTGTAAGCAATAAATTTTGCTTCCTCAACATGAATTCCTCTGAAATACATAAAACACTTCTACTTTTAATTCTCTTTTATGCCATTTTCGTAAATCTGAGCATTTTCCTCTCTTTTTTCTCCAGGACCATGATTGGACTGCTCGCTCAGAGGCCTAGATTTTGCGGGAATGTGCTGTAGTGCTTGTGCTGCCTGTCTGTGTCACTGGGACAGGACAACATGAGCAAAGACTTGCATTGTGTGATTGTCCTTTGGCTTCAGCAGCCTGAGTTCTGGGTCATTTATTTCTCCCATCTACTATGTTAATTAGTGACATTGTACATCCACTGTGTTCATCCCGTGGATGGGCCTGAAATCATCAGCACACTGAAATTTTTCTTAGCTTTTGAATCTAACATACAGAAAAAGGATGAGGAGCCAAACAACTGTACAAAGTAAGATTCAGGTTTATTTACAGAGAAAAGTGAGGGACAGCAAAAAGCCCGTGTTACAAGTGGGGTGCCCAGGGATGCATGATGGTGCAGAAAGCCAGGAAGGAGTCTTGCATTTACAGAGTGAAGTTCATGGTCCCTGCCTCTAAGGGTAGCCCCACCCCAGGTCTGCCTTCAACATTGACAGGAGTTTTGGTTTCAGTTTGGCATCGACATTGTAAAAACCCACTTTGCACAATATTATAAAACACAGATTTGAAAATGCATGATACACGACTTCTAAATTCTCAATATCGCATTTCCTTTTTCTGACCTTAAGACGGTGGTCCTTTCTCTCCCCTAGAGAGGCACAATTTAATATTTCCACATAGAAGAGTGAAGTTTCCATGGATTGCCCTAGCATATTATGGTTCAGGGGCAGCAAATGTGGCCAGGGTTTTGGGAAGATAAATGGACATGTGGGA